GAGAAAAATGAAATTTCTTTGGAACAGAAATAACAATATGACTCCGGCGGAAGATCTGACTTCAGTATTTCCATGAAAAAAAGTACGGTGGAGGGACGGGTAGTAGAATTTCAGTAGAGTCGAAGCGATATCAGGGAAGGATTTGGGACACTTATTTTTGTCTTTTTTTGTATTTATTTTTTACTTTGGACACGGCATGAGAACCATGAGAAGAATCGTTCTAGTTGGCTACGGACAGAGACGCAGACAGACAGAAACCCCGGCATGTCTGCGTCTCTCGATCCTAACTTGTAACACCAATATCTCGATTCGCAGAGAAGATAGAGAAAAATGGTAACAAGGGAGGTAACTTAAGAAAGTCCTTCAGAATTTTCTATAAATTTGCAGAGGGGTACTTACGAACCTGCTTTAGACGATGGTCATAGTCTCCAGAATCAAAACTCCCAAAAAGAGCACAAAATTCCGGGTCCAAAAAGTCGCGAGATGCGCGCTCTCCTCTATGCCTCTCACCTACTGATTTAAACAGCGAGGAGTTGGCCGAGTGGTAGAGCGCCAGTCTAGTAAACGGAGGGTATCGAGTTCGACCCCCCTTACTCTTTTTCATTTTTTAAATTTTTTTTCGAACTCATAAATGAGTTCGAAGTGGATTCCAAACAGCAAAAACAAGTTTTCCTCTTCTTAAAGTCACTGGAACAGTCTCATAAAAACTTTTTGAGAAATTTCATTTTATCGAAAATTTATTTTTTTTTGCATGTCCAAACCCATGAAAATTTTCGCGAACTTTTTTTTTGAAAAAATTTTTTCGATACTTTTGGGAATGGTTTGCAATGATAAGAAAAACATACAGGGGATACTTCGAAGTCCATTTTTTTCGAGTAATAAAATCATGAGAGTATAAAAAAAACTAGCTTTTTTCGAATTCGAATGACGGATTTTCACAGATTACCCTAGTAAAAATCAATAAAAAGAACGCATACATTTTGCTAAATCATTCCAGGAGTATCGAAGAATTTTTTTCAAAAAAAGGTTCGCGAAAATTTTCATGGGCTGGAAATGCAAAAAAATAAATTTTCGATAAAATAAAATTTCTCAAAAAGTTTTTATGTGATTATTCAGTGACTTTAAAAAGGGGAAAACTTGTTTTTGCTGTTTGGAATCCACTTCGAACTCATTTATGAGTTCGAAAAAAAATTTAAAAAATGAAAAAGAGTAAGGGGGGTCGAACTCGATACCCTCCGTTTACTAGACTGGCGCTCTACCACTCGGCCAACTCCTCGCTGTTTAAATCAGTAGGTGAGAGGCATAGAGGAGAGCGCGCATCTCGCGACTTTTTGGAGCCGGAATTTTGTGCTCTTTTTGGGAGTTTTGATTCTGGAGACTATGACCATCGTCTAAAGCAGGTTCGTAAGTACCCCTCTGCAAATTTATAGAAAATTCTGAAGGACTTTCTTAAGTTACCTCCCTTGTAAGAGACAAAAATGATCAGCATAAAATGTTCTATTGAATGGTGTAAAAAGAAGTGCGATGTAAATTTATTGAGAATTCTGAATGGTTCAAGTCTTCTCCTTCGATTCAATCTGTGTTGTCTGCTCCATTGAGTACGACAGCCTTTTCCGGAACTTTTTGATTGAAGCACGTGGATGTTGACGCTGGAAAATACTTATTGGGTCTCACCACGAAAAAATGGTTCAAAACTCACATCATACTTAATACTAACACATCTCTTCAAATCAAAAGAGATAGCCGACTGCTGAAGGCAAGTGTTCAATTGAAAAAGCTCTGTGGATACGGTGGCTTTTGGTGGCATATTCGGAAGACTCGTACTATTTTCAGATGGTTTCATGGATCCTGGTGGAGGAGGGGCTGAAGCAGGAGGAGGAGGAGGTGGAGTAGGTAACGGTCGTTCGGGTACATCGAGTCCACTCTGTTTCAGTTGAAAACGTTTCATCGCGATTTCACTCAAATCCACCAAATTCTTGATAGTGTTGTAGGTTACAGAATCTATTAAGGGTGTTTCTGGGTTGACTTCGAAGACAGCGTTGAGCTGCTCCAACTTCTCAATTGGATCCATTGAGTCGAAGATGTAGCTGAAATTATTGGAATAGTTAGAACATCCCTTTCTTTTTCTCTGCCTCCTGGCCCTTTTGTCTACGCCCTCCCTTTTGCGTCGCAAGCGTTACGCGGTGGCCTAGTGGATAACGCTTTTGCCTCGCGATCTAGAACCCGCGGGTTCAATTCCACCTGGGGTAAAACCTTTTTACTTTTCTTGTATACCATTCTCAATGGTTCCCAATCAATTCCACAAACTTTCAGCGTCATTTTTTGCCCTCCCCTCTTCTTCCCCGTCTCTTCCCGTGGCCTAATGACTAGCCCTTTCGCCTTCTAACCTAGACCCCCTGCCAGTGGTATATCCATTTTTACATTTTTCCCCAGACCCAATCCTTACCCCTCCGGCATCCCCTTACCCGGAAGTAGGGTCATCTCCATGAAGGAATTGATCAACTGCAACCAATTCTTCTCATCAATTTCCAGATCATCCTCTGCCAATGCCAATGCCAAATCTGGATTCTTGATCGGTGTCCCATCCTCATTTTTCTCACACTCTCCAGCTGGTCTCTCAGGCACCATCCAAACTGGATCTCCATTTGGTTTGAAGAAATCAGTGTCCGGGGCGGGCTCCTTCTTTGGTCCTTTTTTGTGCTTCTTTTTCAGTGATCGGGCCGACACGTTGATTTGACTCGATTCGGGCATCACTTCGAGACGCTGGAAAAGGCAAACGGCATTTTTCGTGGCGGTTTCTGCAGACACGGTAGCTCTTAGAATTTCGCTGTGAGTTCAAAAAAATTTTTTGGAAGCAGGTCATGGCTCATTCAAACCGTCTTGACGCGCTGATTTCAGAAAGATAATTTTCGTGGCTCCAGCGGTAAATTTAGTGAAATTGCTCAGAACAAACAATCCCGATTCCCTTACCGCGTCGTCCGTGCGTTTCTTTGATTTTTGTGATTCAATCATCTGTTTGAAGTAGCTATGTGCCATCTCTTTATTGAATCGTTTTGGAGTCCTTTCGTCGTTGCTAGATGGCTCTTTTGATCCTTCCGATTTGTCGTTCACTGGAAGAATTTTTCCGGAATTTCAGTACAAAATATACATCAATCGATAGAAAAATTCATGCTGGTCTTTTTTATTTCCTAACGTTTTTCTCTATTTTCTCTGCGAGTTGACTTATAAGCGTTTGAAACCGGAAGAGAGACGCAGAGAAACTAGAGAATCTGACTCTCTGCATCTCTACGCGCACTAACTTCTTCACCTGTGTCTCATAGCATCTATTTCTTCGAAACGCAGCAATCAAACTAGGCATAAGCAGTGACGCAGACAATGAGACACTCTAGCCCGTCTGCGTCTCTCTCCAAACTTGAAACACCTCTATCTCGATCTACCGAGAAGATAGAGAAAAACGTCAAGGGACAAAAATAACTAGAATGAAATTTTATATCGAATAGTTCTATGAACATCCCAAAAAAAATTGATTGTCGTCAAACCTGACGCCAAATACGCAAACACCCCCAAACGTACTTTTTCTTCCAGAATCCGTCGAAGTCTGTGACCGTTTCTTCTTCTTTCCCTTATTCGACAACACTCCTCCCGCTTCGTGTTCACTTGACGTCTTCGCATCAATCGATATGGATTTTGCTTCGGAAGCAGAGCTCTTCTTTTTACGGATTGTGGCTTTTGATGGTGGAGGAGGTGGCTTTGTTTCTGGCTCCTGGAAAAAAGCGTTGATGAACCGAGATTCGGTAGCTTCTAGGTTTTCGTGGTGGAACCCAAAAAAAAAACTGAATTCGTAAGAACCTAGTCGTGATTATACCCATCTGAACCCTCGTGACATCCTGAATTCAAAAATGTCCTTTTCATAACTCTAGCTGCCCAAATGACCGAGTCATGAGAAGTTTTCTGAAATTGCTCAGAATAAAATCTTCCAACTAACCTTAATTTTCCGTTTGATGACCTTTGCTTCTCTTCCACCAAGATTCGGTGACATGGAAGTGGGATCCTTCAACACATTAGACATCGGAAGGGGTACTGTAGTCACTGGGGGAATCATGACTGGAGGGGGAATATGAGTGGATGGAGTGGTGGCTGGAGATGGAGTCTTGCTGGGAAGGGCAACGGAGGTCGGCACGATTTTTGACTTTGTTGTTCCTCGGTGATTTCTGAAAAGAGGTTTTATGCTGATCATTTTTGTCTATTGAAGCTTCACTCTATTTGTCCTCTGAAGCGAGATATAGCAGCTGGAAGTTGGGGAGAGACGCAGAAAAGTCAGAGTGTCTGGTTATCTGCGTCTCTACGCAAGTCAACTAGAACGGTTGTAAACTTCTTTGAAGGAATAGGGACTGACTGTTTTTGGGTGCACCCGGAGACGCAGACGATCTGACACTCTAGTCGGTCTGCGTCTCTCCCAACTTCGAATTTTAGAAAGCTCACTGTGATTTTCCCTCGATTCGTCTTCCTTTCTCCTCTCTTCGACGCACTGGAAGATTCAATGACCCGGGCAGCATTCTAGATAGTTTTGGCGAATTTTTAGAAATAAATGATTAATTTTTGAAATCCGTGGAAAAGATATTCTGACTAGAGTACTCTATTTTGGAGTATTGAGGGTGGTTCACGCGGAAAATCTTTTGATAGGAGGAAATATTTGGTTGTTACAAAAAGAGACATTCAGGAGTTTCAGGTCTTGACGCGAAAAGTACCGTTGTCTTCTGATACAGAAGAATTTGGAATTTGCCGTTTTATTGTGATCTCTGTGAAAGTCAGTTCTGACTGAAAATCCGACAACTCAACGGCCGCGATATCTCACCACGAAAACTACTGTGCAAATTTACTTTCTATCGTAAGATTTATCGAATTTCGTCAATTTACATCATTTTTAAGCGCTTTTTCAAGTTATTCCTCAAAAAAAAAAGCACTTTTTGACAGCTAATCAGCAACTGTTGCGGTAGCTTTTCTTGTGCGCTAAAGCGAATTGACTACAAAGTGTTTGAAGACCGCAAAGAAATTATTAATGATAGTTTATTACTTTTCAGTTAACAAAAGTTTAAAAAAATGTTATTATTCAAAAACGTAGAAGGAGAAATAGGATGCGTCTGCTTCATCATCAAACAATCTAGCAACCTTCCCATCGGTCTTCCGGCAAACTTGAACTCCTCCGCGGATTTCCAGAGTGTCGTTGAACTTTTTGGAGCTGAAAATATAGTATTAACTGATGTTCTTGATAAATCAAAGACTTACTCAAACTCCTTGACGTCACCAGATGAGATCACTTCAAAGTCGATCTCCCGAAGTACTTTGTTGACGTTGATCGATCCTTTCATCTCAATGTGCAACTCTTGGAGTCGGTCACAGCCTCCGGACATCCAGTGCTTCAAAAAGGTGTTGATATCCTTGCTTCTCAAGCTGGTCTCCTCGAGATCTCCGAATTCAAAATTTAAACTGAGCAAATGGTCGATAGTCATCCAAGATGAGCTCTCATTCTTGAACGTTTTCATGCTCAGTTGACCCATTTGAATCTCTGGATAGGGTTCTTTCTTGGAAAACTGCAAAGAGCAAATCAACTCATCCGAGACCTGAGCCTTTTTGAGGACATGGGACAGATGCTCCACTGATGCATCCTCGGCATCCAGCCAAAGAGTCTTGATAGACTGTTGCTGAGAGTTAACAAAGTCAATCACCCAGGCAGGCATGTTAGAGGAGCATGAGTCTCCAAGACTTACTCCCTGGATTTCGCACCGGAAGACTTTGGAGATGTGCTTGGTGACCTCTTTGAGAGCACTTTCTTTGTCGGTCAGGTACACAGTCTGACCAACGATAGCCATCGGGACGGGGGTTCCATTGGTATTTACCCAAGATACGGCTGTTGGCTCCTCCATGAGTTCCGCGAACTCCACGACTTTCACATGGAGATACTCGTAATTTCTTTGCACGGAGATCATGGAGCTCTCGGTGACATTCAGGTGGAGGTCCAGAGACTTTCCAGGGCGCATCAATAACTCCACGTTTCTTTGGGATCTTCTGGAGATAATGGAGATGTTGAAGCTGAAAAAAGGGGTTGTTTATTCAACAGAAAAGATGTTTCAAAAATTTACAATGGAGCGCGTTTGCATTGGTTTCAACTGTAAAACCTATAGACCTATATTCGAAACAATCAGTCAACACTAATTCCAAATCAGAAAAAAATGCAAACCAGCTACACTGTAATATTTCAAATTAAAAAAAAAATTACATCTCGGCTAGTCCGAATTGTTGGAAAAGATCACGGAGGACGACAATTGGGAGATTGAACAGAGCGAATGTAGACATAGTTGACGGTAGAGAAACGAGGATTCAGGAGAGAGAAGGGGATCAGGAGACAGTAGCAAACGATGCTATGAATGAATGAATGAGAGTGAACGAGCGAGAGGTGGTGGAGGGCCTGGAGTCAATCTAGGAGTAGGATTAGGATTAGTATCGATCACACTGCATTCCAGGTCACCTTTGAATGTGACCCCGCAGTGGCTAGGGGAGCTATCGATCGATTGTCTTGCCACCTCACCATTTGTACAGCACTAGACGTACACAGAGTTCTGACGCTATTTCGGAGTAATAACTGAGTGATCAGGTCTGTTAGAAATATTCATTGAAAATAGGTCCAACGGAAGAATCGATTTTCCCAGCTGAAACTAACATTACTGACCCAAAATTGAATCAAGTGCGAAAAACAACATGAAAATGAAGTAAAAACTTTTAAAAAATGTAATTTGAACCAAATCTAGACGTTTCCCATTAGAAAATACTAATTTTTCAATAAAAATCTATCAGTTTATTAAGAAAATACAACAGGTTGAACCGCGCCCCATTGCGACACTCCGCGTTCCAAGCACTCTTTCTCTAAACGTTAGAGAAAGCAAAATAGCATACACAACGAGGAGGGTCACAGTGCGGCGCAGTTCAACCTGTTGCATTTTCCTTATAACATGAAAATATCATCAGGAACTCATTAATCTCCCCTTCCCTGAGGGTCCTAACGCGAAATCTTTTGTAACGGTTTTTTTTCCTAACGGTGAAATAATTACGATACTTTAGTTTAATGAAATTGCCAGTCAGTGACTAGCAATGTGAGCTGGAGCATGTTTACATTGAAAAGGGAAAAAAATTAAAATGAGAGTTTATTATTTCTAGCCGATCAAAAAACAAGTTATCACTCAAAAACAACCAAG